GTATCCTTTTGACATTCTGATTCTTTTTCTTTGAATAAACACCCAATAGTGAGACTGTTGGATTGCATCACAGTTTTTTCTATTTAGTTTTTTTGAGACACCTCCATCCTGACTTCCATAATGACTGTACTCATTTACATTCCCAGCAACAGTGAATCAATACTTTCTTCATATTCTGTCCAGCATTTGTTATTATTTTGTGTTGGGGTTTTTGTTTTGTTTTTTGTCTTTTTGATAATACCCATGGTAACTAAGGTAGAAGAAAGTATCCTTTCCCAATGTATTTTCTGGCTCCTTTGTTTAAAATCAGTTGGTTATAAGTTCACGGACTTATTTCTGGATTCTCTATTCTATTCCTTTGGTCTGTATGTCCATTTTTGTACCAATACCATGTTTTTTTGTTTACTATAATCTTGCAGTATATTTTGAAGCCTCCAGCTTTCTTCTTTTTGCTCAGGATTGTTTTGGATAATCAGGCTCTTTTTTGATTCCCTGTGAACTTTAGAATAATTATTATATTTATGTGAAGGATGGCATTGGTATTTTGATAGGGATTGCACTGAATCTGTAAACTGCACGGAGGATGTAATGTGGTTATTTTAGCAATGTTATAATAATTCTTCAAATCCGTGGCCTGTGATATATTTCCATTAGTTTGTGCCCTCTTCAATTCCTATTATTAGCATATTGTCCTTTTCCTTGTAGAGGTCTTTCACCTTCTTGGTTAAATTTATTTCTGTTTTTATGTAGTGAAATTAGATTATATTTTTTCCAGCTAGTTAATTATTGGTGTTTAGCAATACTGCTGGATTTTGTATGTTCATTTTACACTCTACTTCTTTAATCAATTTGTTTATCTAGAATATTTGGTGCAGTCTTTAAATTTTTTGTATATATAAGATTCTGTTGTTTGTCTGCAAAGAGAGACTATTTGACTTCCTCAAAGTCAGAGATTTTCCAGTACTGGACTAAGTAGGAGCAGTGAGAGTGGGCATCATTGTCATGTGCCAATCTTCAGAGGAAAAGCCTTCAACTTTTCCCCAATCAGTATGTTGTTAACTGTCCATTTGTCATATATGCTTCCATTATGTTAAAGTCTGATCTTTAAATGCCTCATTCATTGTGAATTGTTTATCATAAAGGAATGTTGATGTTTTCACATGCTTTTTCTGCATCCATTGAGATGTGTATATGATTTTGTCCTTCATTCTGTTGAGGTGATGTATCAAATGTATTGATTTTGGAAGCTGAATCATCCTTGTATCCCTCAGGTAAGTCTCATTTCATAATGGTATATTCTATGTTTTGATGTGCTGCTATTTTCTGTTTGCTAGCATTTAGTGGAGGAGTTTTGCATCTCTGTTTTTCAGAGATATTGGTCTGTAGTTTTCTTTTGTTGTTGTAAACTTGTCTGCTTGGGATATCAGGGTAATGGGGACATTATAGAATGAGCTAGTAAGAATTCCCTTCTCCTAATTTCTTCAGAATTATTTGAGAAGAAGTGGTGTAAGTTCTTCTTTATAAGTCTTAGATAATTCTACAGCAAAGCCATCTAGTCCTAGACTTTTCTTTGCAGAGACTTTCGGCTACTGATTCAATCTCATTACTCATTATTGTTCTGTTCAGGTTTTCTATTTCTTCCTGATTCAATTGTGGTAACTTGTACCTGCCCAGTAATTTATTCATTTCTTCTAGGTTTTCCAGTTTGTTAGAGTATAGGTATTAATAGTAATCTCTGACAGTTTTCTGTATTTCTGTGGTATCTGTTGTAATGTCTCTTTTTCATTTATGATTTTGCTCATTTAGATATTATTTTTTTCACAGTTAGTTTCACAAGCAGTTTGTAAGTTATCTTCATTCTTTACAAAACACAATTTTTTTTTATTAATTCTTTGTGATTTTTAAGGATATTTCCACTAATTTGATTCTGACTATTAGTATTTCTTTCATTCTCTTTTGGGTTTACTGTGCTCTTGCTTTTCTAGTTCCTTCAGGTGTGTTGTAAAGTTCTTTATCTGAACTCCTTCTACACATCTCATGAAGGTGTTGATGGCTTTAAACTTCTCTCATAGTACTGCTTTTTCTCTAAAATTCCTTGGAATTTGGTTTGTTTTATTTTCATCTTTTTGTTTCAAGAATTTTTTATTGTCTTCTTAAGTTTATATTGACTCATTGGTCATATGGGAGCATATTGTTTAATTTCCATGTATTTGTACAATTTCCAAAGTTCCCCTTGTTAATGATTTCTAGTTTTAATCCATGTGGTCTGAGAAGATATTTGATATGATTTTACTTAAGTGTATTGCAACTTGTTTCATAAAGTAATCCACGTAGCCTATATTGAGAATGTTTCATGGGCTATTAAGAAGAATGTGCACAAAGATCTGACAATTAAGTTCGTGAACTCATCTTAGAAAAAAAGAACTGTTTAAGCCTCTTATATCTGTATGTCCATATCTTTTATATCACTGGAAACTTCTCAGCTATTATTTTGTCAAATAGATATTCTATGCTTTTTTCTATCTTTTCTCTTTCTAGAACACTCAAAAGTATAATATAATAGCTTTGTGGTATTCCATGTGTCCTATAGGCTTTCTTTATTCTTTTCTCCTTCCGTTTTTTTAATTCTTTAGTTTCAGAAATTTGGTTCGATTCCTATATGATATTTATCACTTTGAAGAATTTATTATTCAGATTATGAATTTTTCTCATATCTTTGTATTGTTCATCTGTGTCCTCTTGCATTTCACTAATCTTTTATATCAATATTTGAAATTTTTATTCATCTCATATATTTATTATTGGAGTATATTAAATAATAAATATTGTGTTTATTTAGAAGTATCATATTTTCTCACTTTTTCATGTTCTTTTGTGTCCTTGCGTTGATATTTGTATATCTGGTATAACAGTCACTTCTTCCAATTTTTTTACTTAGCTTTCATGAGAAAGATTGTTTGCTGAAGATGTATCTATAGTGCTGTTTCATGGGGTATTTTAACTCTGGGTACATGAAGTGGTATAATCTTTGCATGATTTCTTTGGATGTAATCAGCATCGGTGGTGTCTCAGATGTTTCCTCAGTGACTTAGGCTACACTTGTGAGTGGAAACTATGGTGCAGCTTGGCTGAGGACAGGTTTACCTACTCGGTCAATCCTTGGGCCACAGTGGTAGCAGTGGCTGAGTAAGCATGCCTGTTCCATGGCCTGCAGACTGGGTACAGAGCCACTGGTAGTAGCAACTTTTGGAGGATAATTTTTATACCTTTAGGTGGCTTGCTAAGGTGGCAGTGGCAGCAGTGGATTCAGCTGGTGGACAGGTCATCAATCCCCTGGAAAACATTCATAGAATCATAGTTAAGAGTAGCAGTGACAGGCAAATATTCAACTCCCAAGTGATATTTTCTAGAGCCAGTGGTGTGCAATGGGCTTAGTGGACCATTTTCTAGGTGGATACTGACAGTTGTGGTGGCAGCAGGCTGGATAGGCCCATCCTCTATGACCCAGGAGAAGTACACAAATGTAGTGATAGTGTAAAGGGGAGGCAATCTTCAGTCCCCCAAATGATATGCTTGGGCATCACTAGGAGGTGGGCTGAGCTTGCTGCAAGCCTCCTGATGGTGTATATAGGCACTAGAAGCAGCAGGTAGGGTGAGCTGATTCCCAGACCACCAGATAGTGTACTTGAACACTGAAGCCAGCGTATGAGGAACACTGGTGGAATGAGTTGTGTTCCAGCCCCCTGATGGTGCACATATTTGGGGGAACAGGGCAACTCCCAGGCCCTCTGGCAGTATGCTAAGGTACCAGTGGCAATTTGCATCTGATGTGAGGCACCTTGATGCACATATACTCTGGTGGCAACATGAGGAGCTTATTGATCTCCACACTGCTAACTGCCATGCTCAGATTACAGTGGTGGGAGAGAGTAGAACGAGGCTTTCTTCAATCCCCAATACAGAACTTGAGTAAACTGATCCCCAGCCCAGGGAAGGCACAGGTAATTTCATGGTGGCCCTGCTATTAGGGTGATTATTGTCAGTGGCAGCAGCCCGGGGCAGATAACTCCAGGTACTAGGGCCCCCTCCCTTTGTTCTAGAAACAGCTCCCTAGTGTAGTACATTAGCCTATCCCTGAGGTGTAGAACACTATGTAGGCTACAGAAAGGGAACTCAACCAAACTACTACAGGCTTCTGAGTGGGTGTGAGGGATGTGCAAAGGAACGTAGAGATGTAGAGATACATGGACTTTTGGGACCCAGGGCAGAGTGCCATCTGGTGGGGCAAACAGTGCTTTGTTACAGCTGCTTGGGTCTTGGGATGTGTGAGATCCAACACAAACTTGTTTTCTGGAAGAATGTCATCATGTAAACTCTAGGAAACTCCTTGAACTAGTCTCAGGGCCCATGAGAACCAAGAGTCTCCTCTTCAAACAATAATTATTTAAAATTATTTACAAAAATATTTTAGTGGTCTAATTTTAAAACTATCAAATTATATTTTAGGAATGATAATGTCATGGCACTCTCAGCTGTTCTATTGCTTCTTCATTAACAATGGTACTCAATAAATGTTAATTTTCAGCTGGAGTTGGTAGAGGAATGATTTATTTTCTGGATACTTAGTTTTTCTTAAGCAATATTTCCCATTCTTCATAAATAGTATCATTTTCATTAAGATGCAATAAATCAAAGATGGATTCATTCACTGGATCAAAGAAATGATTTATCATGGATATGGTTTAACATAGTGTTGAAGTTTTCTGTTTTCAAATAATTGATGTTACAACTTTTAATTTATTTACACTGGATAAGAACAATTACAAGATAAAATTTTACATTTTATGAATTATATATGGGTTTAAGTAGAAAAAATATATAATTCTTAAAGTTTATTTAATACTACGACTTCTCTATATAGTTTTACAATTATTATATCTAATTTTATTACTGATCTATTAAAGTGTTTCTAAGCAATTGTCTATTGTAAATATGAATGCATAGCTTCAGCACCACATATTCTAAAACTAAAATGATACAGAGAAGATTAATATGGCCCTTGTGCAAGAATGACATGCAAATTCAAGAAGTGTTCTATATTTTTTGCTTGTAAAATGTTTTTGCAAGGTCATGGTAACTTCAAATGGTAAAACCTACAAGAGATACAGAGATACACAAAAAAATTAAAAAGTAAGAAATTAAAACAAACTATAAGAGAAAAAAATCACTTTTAACAAAGGAAGACAGAAAGTAAGAAACAGAGAGGACTACAAAACAACCAGAAATTCTAAGTAATAATAAGTTTTTACCTATTAATAATAATATTGAATGGGGACAGACTAAACTCTAATCAGAAGACCAAGAGTAGCTGTGAATGGAATTAAAAAACCAATTAAAAAACCATATGTTGAGTACAAGAAACTTCACCTATAAAGATGTACACAGACTGAAAATAAATGATCAAAAAACATTTCATGCAAATGGAAAACTAAAACAGAGCAGGAACCTATATTTCTATAAAATAAAATGGAATTCAAGAAAAAACTGTACAAAGAAGCAACAAAGGTCATTCTATAATGAAAAGGAAGGGTAATTAATCAAGAGGATATAACAATTCTAAATATATAGGCACCTAATACTAGAGCACTCAGATACATTCAGCAAATCTTATAAGAGTTAACCGAGACTACAACACAATAATCTTTGGAGACTTCAACACTCCTTACTCAGCATTAGACATATTACCCAGATAGAAAATCAACAAAGAAACTTTAGACTTAATCTACACTATTGACCAAATGGACTTAATCTTTATATTTGGAGATTGTTTCATCCAATAGGTTCAGAATCCATATTTTTTCCTTTGCTCCTGAATCATTCTCAAAAACAGACAATATATTAGGCCACAAAACATGTCTTTAAAATTTCAAAAAAATTGCAAACCTTTTAAAAGCATAGCAGTATTTGAAGTGCTAGAAATAGTGCAGCAAATAAAGCAATGTTCCTACTTTTATGAAACATATTTTGTTAAGAAATGACAGGCAATAAACAACAAGCAAATAAATACGTAATGAGCTGAGAAGAAAACAAGGGAAAGCAATAGTTCAAAGGGTAGGAAGGAGCTATTTTAAATTAATGGCTATAATATTATTTTTGACAACATGGCCCTTGAAAAAAGATCTGGAAAAAAACAGGACGAAACTTTAATTTTTAACACAGCAGTTTTCTCTAAAGGTTAAAATGGAATATGTTCTGCTCATTTATTTATGAACTGCTTTAAGAAAGATTCAGTGAGAAAAAATGCCATTGAGGCAAGATCATTGTTGTGGTTGCTTTAATGTAGTTTAGTTTTGTTTAGAACATGAGATCCCTTTAGGCTAAAATTTACATAAACATAAGCAATATGTAATATTTAAGGAACGATGGAATTCCTAGGTATTTTTAAATTGAGGCATCAATAGAGACAACTCTATTTCTTTTCCAGGGTGAAACACAATCCAAATCCTAATTAATGGCATCTAGAGTTGAACTCTCACTTTCCAAGAGTTTGAAATTCAAATCAACCATATTGGTGTCAGGGAATATACGAATCATACTAACAAAAACAGAAAAATATTGAATCAGAAACTCCTGAACTAATAAATGTCTGACATAAGCCGAAGGCAAAATGTAAACATCACAGAATCCCAGCTCTATCCTGAGGCACGTACATACATATAAAAACCAAAGCGTATCACAAGAATATTGCTTAAATATTTGTAATATTCTCTTTCTTCTTTCTGTGGTCTATAAGAAAAATAAATTTGAATTTTGGTCAATATTACTCTTAGGAATTAATTCATCCATTACTGTGTTGATTGAACATCTAGCTAGCTATAAGCACATTGAAAAGCCAATATTTTCAGCACTGTCCTTATTTCTAAATATATATGTAGGATTAAATACAACTCTTATTCTTCTGAGGGTTTGTAGTTTTTAATGGGTGAGATAACATTTAAATTAATTAAAATCAAAATATGTTAACGTGCTGACTTTTAAAAAGAAGTGCTAGAGTAGCCCAGAGGGGGAGTGTTTAATTCTCCATGGAGAAGCCAAGGAAGGATTTCCAGAGCAGTTCATAGTTAGAAACTGTAGTCTTAAAGAATAGTAAGGAATTCTTTAGATAATTAAAAATGAAAATGGAGATAACAGCAGAGAAAAGATTGCCCAAGGATGGAGATGGCACAGTGTTTCACCTAAAAAGTTAAGTTGTCTGCATAATCATTTGAAAAGGCCAGTACCCAATCAACACAAACTGGTATGGCATACTAACACATGTGAATTTTATCCTAAAAGTGTTAGGGGAACTTTTCAGTATTTTAAAGAAGTTAAGTATAGTGTTGACACATCCTTGCCAAATTTAATATTTCATCTTTTTTCCCTTAAATTGTCCCTTTCTAAAGGGTGTGTAATGACAGTTAACTCCAGCTTTCTTTTTATTTCCCTAGTGATTGGTGTTAATCATTTGTTCTTGTGCTTATTGGGCGTATTTATCACTTTTCTTTGTGAAGTACACATTTTTTAAATCAGTTTATTTGTCTTTTTAAGGTGTAGAAATTTTTTCAACATTCTTGACACAAGTCCCTTGTCTGTTTAGAATGTTGTAGAAGTTTTCTCCCTCTCTCTGGTACCTTTCCATTTTTGCACCTGAGTTGTTCTATGAGTAAGTATTTGTGATTCTGATAAAGTCCAATTTACCAATATTTTATGATTTGTGCATATAAATTACAAAATCTCTCCATACATTAATGTCACAAAGATCATTTTCTAATTATTTCATCTAGAAGTTTTAAGGTTTTCCACCTAGGACAATTATCCATTTTGAGTAAATTTGGTATGGTCTGAGGTAAGGTTCAATGTACAGATCTGTACAGATGCCAAGTTGTTACAGTGCTGTTTGTGATAAAGATATCATTTTTCCAATTAAATGACATTAGCACCTTTGTCAAAATCAATTTACCAAACATATGTGGTTTTATTTTTGAACTCCTTATTCTGTTCCATTGATCTATATCAATTATATGTCTAGCTTTTTGCTAATTTCAAACTATTTTTCAATTGTTCTATCTTCCAAAAATTTTTCCCTCTATTCTAAGTCTCTTGTATTTTTAAAAAAATTTAAGCATCCAGCTTGTCAATATCTATCAAAAAATGCTAGAATTTTGTTAATATCTGTAGCCCAGTTTAGGGTTGATTGGTATCTTCCAAACCACAAACATGGTTAATCATTTCATTTTCTCTAGGACTACCTCAATTTCTTTGTGTGTCAGTTTGCTATTTTTGGTGTAGAAATCTTAGATATCTTTTATTAGACTTCAACACAACATTATATGATTTTTTGGTGCCATTACCCATAATGTTGGTTTTATAATGCTTTTTATTAATTATAAATAAAAATGAAATTGATTTTTGGACTTTGGACTTGCATCCTTAATTTGGCTAAATTAATATATTAGTTATAGTATTTTGTATAGATTAGGATTTTCTAAGGAAATAATTATGTGAAATTAAAGACAGATTACATCTCCTTTTCCAATGTATACTATTTGTTTATTTTTTTTCTGTATTATAATGGCAAAGATGTTTAGTTAAATATTCAAAGGCTGTGTGAAAGAAAGCTTCTTTGCCTTGTAATTGACCCTTCATTGGGAAAAAATTCTTTAAACATATATTGTAGAGTTGATCCTATGTTGCCAATTTGCTTCACTTTTATTTACTTAATTTTTAAAATCATTTTTTATTTGATTTCTTAAAGACAGAGTTTCTAGGTATAGAATTCTATTGGCATTCTACACATTTATTTTGCCAAGCTTTTTAAAATTGTGCTATGGTTTCTAGCCTCCATAGCTTTCTGGTGAGAAACATGTGGACTTTCAGTTTTTTGTATTGTGTAATGTGTCTTTATTTTTCCTCTGACTACTTTTTCTTTATCTCAGATTTTCAGTGACTTGATTATTCTATCTCCTTAAAGGGTTTTCTTCGACTGTATCCTATTCTAGGTTTACTTCCTAAATTTGTATTATTTATGTCTTTCAAAAAATATGGAAACTTTTCAACCATTTTCCTTCGATCATTTCTAGCGCCTTATCCTTTTCATCATCTCTTTTCCCAAGATGATGAATATGTATATAGTGAGAATAATACTTTTAGACTACATAAATATCTTGTGTCTCACACTTATATGCCCTAGTGTTAGCATCTGTTAATGATTCTTGCTTACAAGTAGTACTGAGGTGTTAGCTAAGTGGCGTTGGCCACATGGTGATTTTCTTTTTTCATTGTTTTTCTACATTCATAACTTGTAAGTCCAATTGAAATGTAAAGTAATTTGTGGTGAAAGAAAGTAGATCAGAGTTTCTGTTCATTTGTTTGCTTTCCCTCAGGAAAATGAGGAAAGAAAAGGGGCATCTTATGAAGACTCACAGAGAACTTAGGGAGGCGATGGATATGTTCACTACCCTCACTATAGTGGTGGGTGAATATATGTGGCACAAATTACATTTCATACTAAATACTTGAAGGTTATTATCTGCTGATTATTCTTATAAACCTGATTTTAAACAATATAACTGGAATTTCTCAAATATCTTATTTCTCCTTCACCTAATTCTGGTTCAAAGACTGTTTTTCACAAAAATCTTCATTTTATCAAAGTTGCTTTAAATGATTACCATTTATATATATTTTTATAAGACAAAGATAATAATAGCAGTTTAGGAGGAATAAATGAAGGTACAAAAACAGAATAAAAAGAAAGGAAATTTTGTTTGGGATTTATTAAAATCGGGATTTGAGTGGCAGAAGAATTAAAAATGCATTTTGTTGCTTGAAAAATTGTGCCTTTTGATTTTATATTTGAGTATGCATAATCCTATGAGGAAAAGATGAAATGATCTTGGAAGTTAAAAGAAAGTGAATTCCCAGACTGAAGGTGACAAAAATTAAGTGTTCATCATTAAGCTCAATTTAATATCCTCTATAAGATGAGATTAAATCTGATGCTTTCAGAGGTTTTAATTTCCCCCCTTACTCTAAGACTATGTGATCTGTGACTTTTGGATAAAA